GAACTGGCAACCGATGGAGAAAAAAGTTTCTCGAGTGGAAGCGTCGCACCGGTAGGCGAAGTGTATAGCAACCCCCCACTAGATGGAGTGACTACCTGGTAAGACCTGCTGAAACTCGATGGATGCAGGTGGCTCTAGACCGTGCTTTGTAGCATTCCTTGGGGGAGACCTAAGTTCAGCAGTAGACTTGTGAAGGGCTGTAATCCTGATGATGATGATGTATAGGGAACTAAACAAAAAGAGATGTATAGGGACCGTCAATTTCAATCTTAATTTGGGTTCGAATTGCAATTGCAATAGATATTATTGATAAAGCCTAAATGAAAGCGATGGGTTTTAATCTCGATGTGTACTCTGGTGAGTTTCCTTACAAAATGAAACACAGTAAGGTTGTCCTTATCCTATGTAGCGGCAGTGTAAGGATATCCACTACCCACCCATAGCATTACCCATAGCACAGGGTAACCTAGTTTGGGCTCCTGTCTCCCACAGCTACTCAAAACTATGTAAAAAGTGGGAGAAATAAATATTTATTATAATAAATGTTTATTATTATTAATAAATGTTTATTATTATTATATCGAGCCGTGGGTGTCGTAAAAGGCGACAAAGGGAAATTCGATGAAGAGATGGGTAAAAGCAACTTCCTGATAAGAACCCAAAATAATAAAAAACTGCGGTTGCGAATCCAAAAGCAACGCAAAATTTTTCTATGAGGCAATCTATGGAAGAGGTCTAAGTTCAGCTGTGGACCTTTATAGGCTGTAATGGAATAGAATGGAAGGTTGTCCCTGTATTTAAATCGGAAAGTAGGGTAAATACTACAATTACTGTCCCGTGTCTGTGTTGTTAGACTTAAAAGTAACAAGTTATGGTTACAGCCTAAATAGGCCACTGCTGGGCCGTATTTAGGCTGAAAAGAGGCCTCCTCTCAATTCTGAGAGAATTCTAGGGCAAGAAAGTGTTTTTTGGCGAACTCCACACGTCTTCGAAATATTTTTTTTCTTATATCTCAGATATGCAGGTTTCCTCACGATGTTTTTCTTCATCACCGAGCACGTGGTAAATCAGCACTTAAAATTGCAATTAACAATTTCTTGGGTGCCGGCGGGGATGAACCCAGATTGCTTGCGTACTGTGAAATTTACTGCAAGCGCCAACTATCTGAGCTACCACGGCTGCATGTTAGACATAAGCAAAATATATAAAAACATCATCTAAAAACAGATTCTGGTTCATTTAAGTAAAGTATATTTTTAAATGACAAACAATGCGGTTTTACCAGTCATGTTTTACATGACAGGGTCATTGGTGACTTCTATAGTCTTTCGCAGGCCCTGACTCATGATTCGGGATGTCATACTTGATCTCTTATAGTCATTTCTCTCAAAATGAGAGAAAAAAATTGCAATAAACAATGTATAGGCAGTGTGATCGAGACGCGTGATAAACCGATAAAAGTCTCTCAGGTCTCTCAGGGATCAACACTTGGCACTTTTTTGTTATTTATTTATTTAAATAGATACACCATCGACAATATCAGTAAACATTGTTGCAATCAAAAATACTACATTTTTAGATAAAGGATATGTCTTTACAGGTGTATACATCAATGTAAGAGAAAAAAAAAAACTAAACAACATATAAACTCTAAATCAAAAAGGAATTAAACTAATCAATCAAAGTAAAAGCACCACATCCAGTAATAATTACAATAAATAATAATTTTGAGTCATTATTCTGGCAAGGCAGGTAACAATAAGTCTTTACATTTTCTTTTGAATTCACGTTCGGGGTCGCTAAAGATGTCGATGTCATGATTGTTTAAGCTGTTGTAAGTTCGCATACATCTGCTTAACGGAAAAACTTGCTAAATTGGTTCTACTGATAGGAATATTGAACAAATTAGTAATTGGGTGTCTAGGAATATGATAAGGGATTTTAAAGTACACTTGCTGCAGTAAACTTTGCGAAATTAACTTACCGTGTAGAAGTTTATGTAGCGTCATTAAGTCTAAAAGTTTTGGTCGGTCAGCCAGTGAACTCACTCCAAGATAAGAAAGTCTAGAGTTATAATCTTTATAGTATGGACAGTTTTGAACTTTATATGCAATGAATCGAGTGAAGTTTTGTTGAATACGCTCGATTCTTGTGAATTTTATAAGAAGGATTCCATATCACCGAGGCATATTCTGAACTGCTACGAATCAATGCATTATAGATTCTGAGCATTTTATTATCTGAGTCTGAGCATTTTTGAAATCCTTACATGTACGTTTGACAAAACCTAACATTTTCCATGAGCGCGTTACCACATTATCTATATGTTCTATAAAGCTAAGTTTGTTATCAAGAATGACCCCAAGATCACGGGTGGATGAAGATTCACTCAGTACCTCTTTATTAATGAAGTAACAAGATTCAATAGTAGATTTATTCTTTGTGAATTTAATGTAGGTACACTTACGAGGATTAAGTTTCATTTTATTACTTTTGCACCATTCATGGATAGCATCAAGGTCATTTTGTAAAGATAGAACATCATCCTGGTTTTTAATAGCTTTGAACAATTTTAAATCGTCGGCGAAAATGGAACAGTGGCTGAGCTTAATGTTATGTGTTATATCATTAATAAACGCCAAAAAAAGAATAGGACCAATATGTGAACCTTGTGGTACGCCTGATAGAGCCACATAATCATTAGACTTATATCCATGCAATACGACACTTTATAATCTATTTTTGAGATAAGAACTTAGCAAACGAAGTAAATTCCCATGCACGCCGTACGAATTTAATTTAGATATAAGTAAATGATGGTCCACGACATCAAATGCACTAGAAAAATCCGTGTATATGGAATCCACCTGCATTTGACCATCCATTGCACTTGCAACTTTCATGACGTAAATCCATCAAATTCCTAACAGTAGATTTACCTTTGGAAAACCCATGTTGTGCCTCTACGATAATATTTTTTAGATGATTTGTTAAATTTGGATAAACTAAGCGTTCAAATATCTTTGGAAATAAGCTTATAATTGAAACCGGTCTATAATTTTTAACATTATTTTTATCTCCTTTCTTGTAAATAGGTATAACATTGGAACGTTTCCAGTCAGTTGGAAAGGACCTGGTTAATAACGATTTACTAAAAATTTGTTTTAGAGGAAGAGTTAGATATTTTGATATCATTTTTATAAACAGAGGAGGAATGCCGTCAGAACCCGCTTCTTTGTAGATATCTAGCGACTTCAGTATACTCAGGATTTTACGTTCTGTTATTTCTATATCATGCAAAGAACTTTGTGGATACACATCGAACAATACAGGAGCTGCAGTGCACTTGGGTTGGGAGAACACAGATGAAAAATGTTGAGCAAAAAGATTACATATCCCCTCACCACTATTAGCCGAGAGATTGTCTAGGTACATTTCTTCTGGAAAACCATAATCGCAGGATTTCCGATGACGGACGAACGACCAAAACTTTTTAGGATTAGACTGAATGGATTTTTCGGTTTCCCGTATATAATCTAAATAATTCTTAGAGGCCAACGACTTAACCCGGTAATTTAAGAGCTTGAGTTCTAATGTATCTCTTGGATTTTTGTAAATTTTGTGCCTTAATCGGATCTTTTCTTTTTCTTTTATTAGTTTAATTAAGTTCGGCGTAAACCAAATAGGAAACTTTAAATTACGCGGCTTCGTTTTTGGTACAGTTTCATCAATAATGGAATAAAGTATTTTGTAAAACCTAGACACCATGACTTCGACCTCCTGACAATTACTAAATTCAAAACTCCAATCAACTCTACTTAACCTAGAATTTACTTTGGTATAATCAGCCTTTTTAAAATTGTGAGTAGCAAAAGATTTATTATTCAACAAATGCGGTACTGACATATTTACATTTATCTCTAAAGCAGGATGATGACGATCAGTTTTACTTATTGGACATGGACATTCAGCAACATTTATATTCTTAAGATTACTTAAAACAAGGTCAAGGGTTCTGTTATTAGCGTTTTTCACAGCATTAAATTGTGATAAATTATTTAAAGACAAGAAGTCAATAAACTGAAATCCTAAATTACAGCAATAATTGTTAGGGGTTAATTTGTTTACGGATTTGGTAACATCGGTAATCCAATCTATAAAATTCAAATTAAAATCGCCCAATATTATTGTGTCGTTACTACATGATTGAATTACAATATTGCAGTTGTCAAGAAATCCATCTAATAAACTATTAGTTAGTGGAGGGGGCAAGTATACTACACAAAACAAGCAGTCCACGAGTTTGCCATTAATATTCACTCTCACCGAAACCCACAAGTCTTCATAACAGCTCTCAAAGTGGTTAACTCTTTTTAGAGTACAGTTTCTTCGATACTGCTACCAGGACACCTCCGCCTCGCTTGCCAGCGAGATGGGTAGAATTGCGATCACGTCTATAAACATTGAAGTTTGCGCCGAACAGTTCCCCGTCCGATACCGTGTCGTCAAGCCATGTTTCTGTTCCCACTATTATATCATAATGGGTAACCAGTGAAGATAGTTTAATGTTGTCCGTCTTAGTTTTCAGACCTTCGAAATTTTGATAATATATATTGAATTTTATTTTGAAAGTTACGATCTTAGTAATATGGCGTATCAAATTATGTAATTACAAGTTTTTCAAAGAGTCGTGGCATTTAATTTGTTTTGCAGGGGTATGATCTTTTTTTCGCACAAAAATACGACCATTACGGATCCAAACATATTTATTACCCTTTTCACGTGCAATGTTTCTGGTGCTAGCATGTAGTTTTTTGTTCTGAGGGGATAAATGTTCAGAAACATATACGGATGATTTATTCCCACCATATCCCAAATGAGAAGAATTAAGTTTATCTGTCGTATTTTTCTTATTAAAACTGGAAACCGCAGCCAACATTGCGTCACGTTTTATTGTGGACTGCAATTTAATTATGATGGAACGGGGACGATCATTGTTATCATTCATTTTTTCTTACTCTAGTGCCCGATAGTACTTCAGAGTCCATCAAAGGGACGGAAATAGTAGAGCAAAGTTGTTTCGCTAAGGACAGCAAAGTTTCGGACTTATTTTCCGGAACGCCGTTGATCTCAATGTTCGTTTCCCGAGAGTGCTGTTCCATTAGGTTGAGTCTATCTGAGATATCTAATACTTGACTGGATAGCGTTAAATTCTCTTTAGTAACCACGGTAAGTCGATCCTGTAAATTTTTTATGTCAGAATTCATCCGGTCATATTGAGAGCTAAGAAATTCCACACTTTTGCCGATTTCTCGTAAGGTAGCCAATTCGCTTTTAATTTCATCGAACTCCTTAGAAAAATACATCTTGACGGCTGATTCAACAGCCTCCGTCACAGACTTGCTGTATTTCTCGACGTATAATATTGACTAAAACCTTATCGTCCATGATAGAAGAAGAACCAGGAGATAATGGTTGTTTCTCTGGGATTAGCGGTTTGCGTTGAGTTAAATTACATTCTTCAGAGTCTTCGGTTATCTGATCAGATGCAGATGAAAGCGAATCCATACGACAGCCTTGTACAGGGGTGTTAGTATTGTCGAACTTCCTTTGTTTACTTTTGCATGTTGGGCATTTCCAATTGTCTTTCTTTTCTTATCCATAAGGCAAAATAACTTGTACGAGTAATTTACGCATTCAATATCATAGGTATCATTGCATAAGCAGCAAGACAAAAATTCGCGGTTTGTGATTTTTTTCGAACAGCCCGCACAGTATTTCGCTTTTGGAGGCATTTTATTTAAACTGAATGCAAGACAAGCCAAGCAAAAGTCACCCAAAAGCAGATAAGTTAAGCTCCAGTATGCAATATTATTTTGTTGCAAGCCGTTAGTCAATCCCGCTCACAGGCCGTATCTAAGGTAGGATGTTGTGACAAAAAGGTCGTTAGCGCCGTGCAATTAGCGTCGCTTACGCGTTTTTGTCGACACCTTGAACGTAATTTAAATTTGAATGATCGTTTATGAACTGAACTGTTATTGTTAGAATTTGAAGTAATTTCCACTAATTATATCAACAGGTACACTATACACAGCCACAAATAAACACTTAACTTCAAAGCTATGAAGTTATTGGAACTTTTAGTGTATTTAAACTAAGAATTTGAATATTTTTTTCGAGAACACAAGCGTTGAGATGTTGTTCATTTGACGTCACGGACTTGTACCTTATTATACCTATTAATCTACATAAATAGTCTTCCTGTTTCCGTTTGCAGAGTAAGAATTATTCAAAGCTAAAAGAAACGATTTTGCAATGGAACAGCTCTACTAAATGTAGATATTGTTACCAAATAGTTTTCAGAAAACAATTTGATCTAAATGTAGAGAAAAACAATTGTTTTATCGTTTATATTGTTAAATATTTTGCAAAATGCTGTAATTATTTTATAAAATGTTAATATTAAGGTCTTAAGGTCTGCTTGAGAGCTTACTTTATTTTGAATTGTTTTTATAATTTAATAATTACTTAAAAAACCATAGAAAGGACAGTTATTTAAAAAAAAGTCAGTTACGAAGATTTCACGATAACACAACATGCATCATTTTTAAGATAGCAAGGAGTCTTCATCTTTAGAGTGGGATGCTTTTAGCTTAAACGATTTCACTATTCAAACATGCGTGGCACCAGGCTATTAGGAAGATTACGACATGGGTAGCAACCGCATCTGAGGAAACTGGTAAATATATGTGAGGAAATCTTCTTTGACTCGTTAAATTATGATAAGTATGATTTGTAAGTTATTAAAGAAGATTTTGAACAAATAAAATTAATTTACAACACAACACCGTAATTAAAAGTGTTAAACATTAATTTAGTTAGATTTCCGCAATAAAATAAAACGATGTGTCTTACCTAATTTGAAAAGCACCTCCCACCCTCCCTCAATTACATGTACTATCCCCGTCACCACTAATCCTAACACCGGTGCACTAGAAAAGACACACCACCATAAATAATGTCACCACCGTCTTAAAAAGATACGTGTTTGGCCTCTACACGAGGCCTTCTCAGGTGAAATAGTATCTGCGATGGCGTGCGATATTGAGGGAGGACGGGAGGTGCTCTTCAAACTAGGTAAGACACAATATTTTATTTTATTGCGTGGATCTAAGAAAATTAATGTTTCACACTTCCGCGAAGAAACGACTGATTCTATTAATTACAATACCGTAATGGTAATTAATGGAAAATAAGAAAACCCAGTATATATTCGCAGTTTTTACACAGCGAAATGAGAACTTATAGAAAACCATAATGCATACACAATGAGAATAGGTTTATGCTTACAGACAAGTTCATTCTCTATCATATCTCTAATTTTCTTAGTAAGCAACCAGTTTTAAGACGATTATTTTATTTACATTGAAGGAAAATACAGTAAAAAGCGGCAAAATATGTAAAAATAATAACAATAACTCAAATAATGATGTGTTTTAGTTTGGATTTTGAACACCCTACATTGTATAATGACTTGTACAGGTACATAACGCACTTAAAGTTAGAGGAAGAAGAAAGGCTGGAGAGGGAGTGGTGGCAGGCCTGTTGTACATCTTGTTTAATTTATGTTGGGAATTGAAGCGGGTACCGGAAGACTGGTGTAAAGTAGCTATAGTCCCGTATATAAAGGAAGAGGTTCACTGCAGGACAGTCAAAACTACCGTGGTATCAGCTTGCTTAGTATTGTGGATAAACTGTATGCTAAGGTGTTAATTGAAAGAGTTATAAAAGAAACTGATGGAAAAATTTGGGACGTGCAAGCGGGATTTAGAAAGGGAATAGGGTGTACAGATCAAGTATTTTCCATGCGCACGATTGCGTAGAAGTTTTTGGCCAGAAAAAACAGAAAGATTTTGCGCGTTTATGGACTTGGAAAAGGCTTATGACAGAGTGGACAGGACTGTGTTATAGCAAACACTGAACTCATTTGGGGTGAGCGCTGGTTTGATACAGGCATTAAGGTCTCTTTATAGAGACTCTAGTGCTTGTGTCAGGATCAACGGGGTCTACTCAGTTTGGTTTGGCATCCCAAAACGTGTTGTTTGCAAACTTCGAAAGATGAAGAATGTGGGTTAAGAGTTGGCGAGTTAACCGTCAAATGCCTTCTGTACGCCAATGATCAAGTCATATTTGCGTCGTCGGCGGCCGAGTTGCAAATGATGGTTACATTAATGAACTGGTCATTAAAAGCAAGGGGTATGAAAGTGAACGCAATTAAGACGAAAGTGATGGTTTTCAAAAGAGAAGAAAGTAAAACTTTATGTGAAATAAGAATGGAAGGGGAGTTGGTTGAGCAAGTGGATGAGTTCGTGTATTTGGGATATGTATTTAGCAGGGACGGTAGTTATGATAAGGATAAAGAACGACGAGTGAATGCAGAAAATAGAGTAAATGTGGCTCTACACTCTATTATGAAGAATCAGATTGTGTCAAAAAAGGCACGTTTGGTAATTCATAATGCTGTGTTAATCCCTACTGGTTGTGAAAGTTGGTTGTGGCAGAAGAAGCACGAAAGTAGAATAAATGCTGTAGAAATGCGGTCTTTAAGGATTATGCTATGGCTGAATCTGAATGAGAGGGTGAGAAATTGCGTGATAAGAGAAAAATGTCGTGTGCAAGATGATGTTGTGACCAGGATTAAGACAGGAATGCTTCAGTGGTTTGGTCATGTAGAAAGAATGAGCGAGGAAAGAGTAACAAAGCAAATTTATAGTGCAGATGTGAACAGCAGAGACGGGATGGGATACCCTATAAGAAGGTTCATTGACCAAATTGGCGATATTTTGAAAAGGGGCCATATTAGGAGTACCCTTAACCGACGAGCGTGTAAACGTAGAAATACGGATGTATAGGAAGTGAAAGAGATATGTCAGGATCGTGGCAAGTGGAAGTCCGTAATCTCTGTCTACTCCTCTGGAAGACAGGCGTGAGTGTTTATGATGACTATTTTTTATGAAGAGTAATCCTATTCCCACCAATCGCGCATAGTATACAGGTAGGCCTTGAACAGGCCTTGTTCAACAGTGGCCTTGTGAAAGAATGTAATGCAAAAACGTAATATGTCATTATTACCATCAGATGAGCCGCAAGCTCGTTTGCCCCTTCTCCCATAAAAAGTCATGGTACAATTTAATAAAGATATAAATATCGAAGTTTTAAATGGAGTCAGCGATTAATTTTGTTAATTTTTTCATAACATACCGAAGTACAATTTACAGTACAATTCCGACTAGGTAAGTCCAACTTCGACCGAGAGGTCAATCGATGGATTCTACTCGGCTGGGCAGCGTTCGGGAAATTACGACACATCTTCTCGTCAGGTATACCTTAAAACTAAGTTGTATAACCAGTATGTGTTGCTAGTGATGACCTACGGAACCGAGACGTGGTCCTTCACTACTGGCCGTATGAGGACGCTCAAAGTCGCTCAGCGAGCTATGGAGAGGGATGCTCGGAGTTTCTCTGCGTGATAAACTTAGAAATAAGGATATCCGCAGTAGAACCAGAGTGACCGACATAGCCCAACGGATTAGTAAGCTAAAGTGGCAATGGGCCGGCCATATAGCTCGAAGAACCGACAACCGTTGGGGAAGAAAATTTCTCGAGTGGCAGCCTCGTACCGGTAGGCGAAGTGTAGGGCGACCTCCCACTAGATGGAGTGACGACCTGGTAAGACATGCAGGAAGTCGATGGATGCAAGTGGCTCAGGACCGTGCTTTGTGGCATGCCTTGGGAGAGCCCTATGTTCAGCAGTGGACTTGTGAAGGGCCGTTGTGATGATGATGATGATGATACCGAAGTAAGGTACGATTTTAGAGCCAATTCTGTCGATTGATCGAAAGCTCTTGAGTCGTAGCGCTGAGGGCTGCGCGATCGTGTCCCGCATGGAACATGTACTTTTGTATGGTCTACAAATAATTGTTTTGGGTCTGGTAAATGTTTTTCCTTGAGCCATTCATTACGTAAACTACCTCCACGATATAGAAGAAAATACCAGCGTGGAGGTAACGTATTTTTGAAAACTGAAGAAAAAAGTTTTCATATTTTGATATTCGAGACAATTGGCTACAGCAGCCACTTACCATCAAGTTGCATTGTAAGCTCAAACGAAATTTGTCTCTTTAATGTAATTTAGTTCTCAAAATTGTAATTCTTCTATTTAGTATAATCGTTTGTCTCCCTTATTCTTTATAGAATACACGATTACATATTCCACCTGATAGTAAGTGAATTCGACCACATCCACATTGCACACACACGGCCTACAACGTACCTGCATCTTGATTAAGAATCAAGATGCAGGTAC